CAAAGAATCTCCCAGGCTCAGTTCTCTTGCATGCTGGGTGTCATGGCCCAGCTTCACATGGTTCATGTCCTGTGCTGGCAGGCAGTGGTTGATCCCAACAGTCCCAGCTCGGATCGCCCACGTGGACAGGTGTATTAATTTGGCTCCCGTCCTCTAACTTCGCCCTTCCAAACCAGCCGGTCTCAGCCCCCTTGTTACCTGCGAGCTCAGTAGCCTGGTTTGTGGAAATCCCCAGAAGTCACTGCACCTGTCAGATTCTCCCTCGGCAGTCCTCTCCCCGACCCCTGCCACGTCTCCAGATCTGCTCCTCTGCCTCCCGTGAGCACACAGATCCGCAAGTCCAGTCTTCCCGCAGTGTGCTGTGCCAACCTGGGGCTGCGTGCCCACCGCCCAGGTCCCCAGACTTTGTCTGCTGGCATGCCAGCATCTGCCCTCCACATATCTTTTAAAAATAGGCATCTGTGCTGGCACATTGAGTGTTACCCAGGCCCAGGTGCCCACCAGCTGTTAGCTGCATCTCTCAGCAGTGACACTTGCCTGATGCAGTGCACCCTAGCCAGTTAACCACAGCTCGAGTGGCAGCGTTCATTTGGGAGGCAGCGAGGGAATTCTGTTGGCCCTCTCCTGAAATGGCTACAAAGCGGGCTGAGCTGGTGCCAAAGCCAGCAGCTGAGGGCTCCTTCTTGGTCTCCCACACAGTGACAGGACCCAGTTTTTTCTGCCGTCACCTCTGCCTTCCAGGATCATCCCTGGCAGAAAGCTGGAATTGGACCAGGAATTAAATGGAGGGTTTTTTTTAAATGATTTATTTATTCGTTTATTTTTTTATTGGAAAGGCAGGTTTATGTAGGAAGGACAGAGAAAGATCTTCCATCTGCTGGTGCACTTCCCAGGTGACCACAGCTGCTGGAGCTGAGCCAACCCGAAGGCAGGAACCAGGAGTTTGTTCTGGGTCTCCCATGCGGATGCAGGGTCCCAAGGCTTTGGGCCGTCCTTGACTGCTTTCCCAGTTCACAAGCAGGGACCTGGATGGGAAGTGGGGCAGCTGGGATATGAACCGGCACCCATATGGGATCAGGGTACATGCAAGGTAAGAATTTAGCCCCTCGTCACTGTGCTGAGCCCCGGAGGCACCTTGATGTGGGCCAAGGTTAGGTCAGATGGCTGTTTCTTGTTTTCATTTTTTTAATTGTTTGACAAGCAGAAGGGGATGGAGGGAGAGCCCCCTCTCCATTGCTGCTCTCCAAATGCCACAGCAGCCAGAATTGGACTTCCTGTGTCTCCCTGCGTGTGCGTGAGCAGGAAGTTGGTGTTGGAAGAGCCCGGACGGTCTCTGAGGCACTCGCATCAGAGGCGGCCATCTTGCCTGGTGACGTAGCTCTGGTCGGCCACCATCACTGCTGCTCATGCTGTCCCGGGAGCTCCCCGGCGCTGATGCTCTCACCTGGTCCTGAAAATGTTGTCGTAGTGTGTTGTGTTTTTCATTTTTATTTATCTCTACGTGTATTTTCTAATTCTGTTAGCTTTCTGGTGATTCTGTTTCAATTTGTTGTTTATTTAGAGAATGTTGTTTAATATCTGCAAACGTATTTCTTCAGTTTTGCTTGTATTACTAATTTCTGACTCCACCCCTGTGCGGTGGAAGATACATCGTCCTGTGCGCTCAGCTGGAATAGGCCCAGGCTTGACGGGTGGCCTCCCGGTTAGTCAGCCAGTGAGAATGTAACCACGTGATTGAAGTGGTAGAACTTTCTGTACCTAAACCGTGATACATTTCTTAATTTTGTTATAGAATTCTAGGAGTAAGTATCCTTCTTGATGATATCTCGTTACGTTTTGAAGTGATCCCAGTATTTTTATGATAGTGAGAGAGGTTATCATTTATGAAATATCGAACTAGTGACCTTAACGATTCAGTAATGATGAAAGGCCCAATCTAACCTTTTATTGAATGTGATATTTATTAAAAATGAAACTTCTCATCTCCATTATTTAATCAATAGCACATTATGCTGTTTAATAATGTGATAAAAAAAATGTGTCACAGAGTGGATGTTCTCTCCCTTGTCATATAGTTTAATTTTAATAACCAGGAAATGGCATTCTAACCTAAAGTCAGCTAAATATGTCTGTCCAATCTTGTAACTTTTATGAGTTGAGGTAGAGCAGTTAAATTGTCAGAAAGGAAATAATTTCTAATGACTAAACCGCTCCCATAACCACCTAATGTAAATCAGCCAGAAGCTGCGTTTTTATTTCCCCGTTATTTTCTGTTTGTGTCTAAAACACTGACCATCAGTACAGGTGGCATGTTGGCCGATGAGGCAGGAAATGCATTACATGTTTACCATTGGCGGGAAGGGGGCGTACGCCAGGAAGAAGACAAGGGAGAAATGTGGAGGTGAAAACCCTGGGCCCTTCCCTGCCAGGACCCAGTCTTTTGTTGAAACAGAAAGCGTGGACTAAGAAGGGCTGTCCCCAGAGCGTGTGGGCCTGCCAGGCTGCTGCCCTGCGTGGGGGTCCTCGCTGTCCCCACGCCAACGCAGTCCCTCTGCTGCCTGCGTGGGGGTCCTCGCTGTCCCCACGCCAACGCAGTCCCTCCGCTGCCTGCGTGGGGGTCCTCGCTGTCCCCACACCAAAGCAGTTCCTCGCTGTCCCCACACCAACGCAGTCCCTCCGCTGCCCTGCGTGGGGGTCCTCGCTGTCCCCACGCCAACGCAGTCCCTCCGCTGCCTGCGTGGGGGTCCTCGCTGTCCCCACACCAAGACAGTCCCTCCGCTGCCTGCGTGGGGTTCCTCGCTGTCCCCACACCAAGGCAGTCTCTCTTTTGCATCGCTCAGGTCTCCTAAAGGATGTGGGAATTGGGTGGCCACATTCCCACTCTGTTGTCACGCACTGGTACAGGTACTTCCTGTTCCCCGTTTGCCCCTCCAACAGCTGTGAGAGGGGTGCTGTTGTCGAGGTTCTGGGGAAACCAGAGGCTTCATACAAGCTGCTCTCCGAGCCGGGCACCTACCAGTGCAGCGAGGGACCTGGGTTGAGCTCCTGACGCTCGTCCTTGGCCTGGCACAGCCTCAGCAGATATCTGGGGAAGTGAACCACGATGGGCAATCTGTCATTCTTTGTGTCTGCTTTCAGATAATAAACTGTGATTTCAAAGGTTTTGCTGTAGTGGACACTGTTGGTTTTGTTCTTACACTGTGCCAGAGAGACCTGGGTCACAGCTCCCACTTCCACACACAGGCCGTGTGTCTCAAGTGCCAGCGTGGACAGCTGGTATGTTGTACAGCTCATCAGTAAAGGGAGCGGAGAAGAGAGGGAGGCATTCGACATAACTGTTAAGCCGTGTGGTTCCCAAGGCCACCCCTAAGGGAAAATAGAGGCTGGTCAGCCGTGGGAGTGGGCAGAATCTGGTCTTAGAGAGCAGGGAAGCTTAGTCTGCACGGGCTTGAACCTGTCTCTGGAAGATCAGCACAGGGCCACTTTCAGGAGCTCCAACAGGAAGTGACAGATGCACTTTCACTGAGCTAGCAGGCCGCCCTGTGGCTGGTCCAGCACCTGTGTCAAGTTCAAGCTGAGAGGCCCTTGGAGATCATCCAGCCGACCCCCTGGCCTGGCCCGCTGCAGCCTCTGCGCTCCTGTGGCCATGTCACCTGTCCCCTTGTGGAGTCCTCCATGGAGAACTCTGTAGAGGCACGGTTGACCCAGTTCTCCAGTGCCGAGTGAGGTGTATACAGAGACGGGAATTTATTTGTGCCAGCAGTTCTTCCTGAAGTACAGAAAAATTTGACCTGTTTGGTGAACAACTCATTAGTAGAACTGAGAGAATGCAGAAATAGGAGTGTGGCCTGACCTGGTCCCTGCGATGGCCTCCTTGGCCTCTCCTGGGGAACCTGCACTCCAGTCCTGACGCACCAATGCTTGCCTTGGAAGGCCGAGCTCCTGGGGCACCCCCACTGCGCTCTGGGGGGCCGAGCTCCTGGGGGGCTGAGCTCCTGGGGCACCCCCACTGCCCTCTGGGGGCCGAGCTCCTGGGGTGCCCCCACTGCGCTCTGGAGGGCTGAGTTCCTGGGGGGCCCACACCACTGGTTTTGGGCCTTCTGGACTTTTTTTTTTTTAAGATTTATTTTATTTTATTTGGAAAGGCGGATTTACAGAGAGGAGAGACAGAGAGCAAGATCTTCCGTCCAATGATTCACTCTCCAAGTGAGCGCAATGGCCGATGCTATGCCGATCTGCAGTCAGAAGCCTCTTCCGGGTTTCCCACGCGGGTGCAGGGTCCCAAAGCTTTGGGCTGTCCTCGACTGCTTTCCCAGGCCACAGACAGGGAGCTGGATGGGAAGTGGGGCCCCAGGATTAGAACCGGCGCCCATATGGGATCCTGGAGCGTGCAAGGTGAGGACCTTAACCACCTGCGCCATCGCGCTGAGCCCTGGACTTTTCAGAAGGACAGCTCAGGAGACGGAGAGGCGTGGGGGCAGCAGGGCTGGGAGGGAGTCCTGGGAGGGGAGGTGGGGGAAGTGTTCACTCACGGCCTTGCAGAATCAGAGGCTGAAGCACATGTCTGTGCATCTCACAGTTCTGTCTTTGCAGCACTGATGTGTATTGTCGGCTTGGTCCAAAGTGGACTGAATGCCTGTCACTTTGTTAAGCTGCACAGATTCTCAGCAGAGAGGGCCTTTCCTGGTTCTTGTTAGATCACTGAGGTGGAGGTGTGAACCAGGCGCTGGGACATTTTAGTTCCAGCTCAGAACATGGTGAGCCAGGCTGGGGAATCGAGCTTCCGTACCGTCTGGGAATAGTGTTTGCGGCACAGTGGTCCCAGTTGGTGCATGTAGCTGGTCACCCGTCAGTGGTGGGAATGAAAGCGTGACCATGTGTCCCTTTGGCCAGGATGACGCACGGGTGGCCATGTGGCTGCAGGTCCCTTCCTCGCTCTGCTTCCGGCCTTCCTCGTGTTGGAGCCGCGTTCTCTTCTGATGCAGTGTTTCCTTCCTCAGGCCTCCTCCGAGGAGCTGAAAGCCTCGTACCGGAGGCTGTGCATGCTCTACCACCCGGACAAGCACAGGGACCCGGAGCTGAAGTCACAGGCGGAGCGGCTCTTTAACCTTGTTCACCAGGCGTATGAAGGTCAGGGGGCCCAGCCCGGGGGCAGCAGGGTGCGCTTTCCCACAGTCCTCTGCGGGCAGCATGTGCGGTGACTGCCCGCGCCCGGCCGCAGGGGAGCCGTCGGTGTAGGTCACTGGCTGGTTTCTGAACGAAACTCCCGGAGGGAGAGGGCTGGTGGGTGTGGGAAGGTCCTTTCTTGGTGAGGAGAAGCAAGTGCTTCTCTTCATTGAAAAGTGATTTTTATTGAGTCTGTAGCATCCAATTAAGGAAAGATTCTAACAAGAAGAAAAATAACCTGAAAGTAAAGAGGAAATAGAACCAAGTAACCGAAAATGCTACACTTGAGTATATCAGAAAGAGTGCAGTGCGTGTGTGTGCACAGGTCAAAGCCACAGGTGGGTGCAGAGCATCCATCTGTAATGATAAAAAGACCTAGACATGGAGGAGTGATTATACCACATTGTGGCTGCAATAGGGAGTTGCACGCTTTTAAATGGTAAGTTGCGAAGGTTCATGTTTTTTTACCACAATATTAAGAATAAATATCTGATCATCACTGTTAGAGTATATATTACATAAAATAAAATGTTTGCTCCAGAGCTATTGCTGATTTGTCCTTTAATTAGGCAGAACAGAAATTCAGTGGTGTCTTTTTTTTTCAAAATGCATAGACTTCTTACTGCAGACACACTGTATGTGAGGTGGCTTGCTTGAAAGTGTTACCAGAAAGCTAGGTTTGAATAACTGTGTGTGTGAGCTCTTGGGGTACGTGCTGCCAGATGAACTCTTCGGACCACCTGCGTGACCAAGTTCCTCTTGCTGTGGTCCGTTGTCTAGGTGGGTGTGTCACTGCCACTGTCACCCGGATAGCCTGTTATGATTCTGGAGGGGTGGGGAGGAATCCACAGGACACCTGACCCTGCTTGCAGGAGGACAGCCCGCAGCACAGCTGTCCCGGCTTTGCCTGGAGACTCATGGAAAGCAGACGAGTCCCGCTGAGTCCTGGAGATTGGCTCTAGCCGTTTGCCTCCGTGCTTCCCGGGGCTCGGCCTTTCCTGTTAGGTTGGATCATGGATAGAGTCATTTCTGTCATCTGCTAGTTAGACCTGACTGCATGGGAGCTGTGGGGAGGGGTCTGGAGTGGAGCTGGACCACGCAGAGGAGAGGCGGCACCTGCTGGCCCCACCGACGGGCAGCTTTGGTCTCTGTCCTTCACTGCCTTGCCAGCCTGTCTGAGAAGTCTGTAGACGTGGTGGGTGTCACAAGAGGGCTTCTCGCCAGTGACTTACAGATAGAGACTGGGAAGCAGCAGCTAGCCTTAGCTGCATACTGAATGACATGTTTTTATAATATCAGATCCTGTCCTGGTTTTACTTTAAGCTTCTTTAGCAACTAGAATCAACTTAGAAAAAGCTTATTTGAAAATAAATTTTAAAAAAAAACAAAGAAACAAAAAAGATTATTTGAAGGGCAGCGCAGGCAGGGGAGAGGTAGGGCAGAGTTAACACCTGCTGGATGACTCCCCAAATGGCTGCAGTGACCAGAGCTGAGTCAGGCTGGAGCCAGGAGCCTGAAACAGCATCTGGTCTCCCCCAAGGCACAGGGTCCTGAATACTGAGGCCATTTTGTGCTGTTTTCTAGATGCTTCTACAAGGAACTAGATCAGAGGCCAACCTGTAGAGGAGGTGCTGGCAGGGCCTAACCCATCCCTCGCCACGCCGGCCCCTGCGGTGGGTTCCTCCAAGCCACTGTACTTCATGCTGAGTGGCAGCAACTTAGCAGATCCCAAACACCATCCTCTGATGGTTTAAGGAGTCATAAAGTTCCTTTCTTGTTAGGCCTAAGCCGAGGAGTGGCAGCTGGCACAAGGGCACAACCTGGTACACCTCTGGCTTGTGAACCTGGCTTCCCACGGGAGCAGGTGCCAGTCCAGTCCCAGCTGTTCAACCTCTGATCCCGATCCTTTCTAATGCAGCTGGAAGAGCAGCAGAAAATATCCCAAGTGCTTGGGACCGGGCTGTTCGTGTGTGAGACCGGCTGGAGCTCCGGGCTCTGCCTTGCACTGGCCGTAGCTGCCGGCAGGCTGGGTCCCAGCGGACTGAAGATCTCTACCTCTTCCTTCCCTTCTCTTTCTGTAATTCTGCCTTTCGAATAAATAAATCTTGAAGTAAAGAGAGAGAAGAGAAATGAAAAGAAATACAGAAGATCTCTAGGAAGATTATGACTGGACAGGGAACAACAGCAAGATAGGAACTTAGCTGTACCGCGGCCAGGGATATCAGAAGGGAATGGGAAATCTTACACTTTGTAAACATGTTGTGTTTGTTTGTTTTGTTTTTAATTGCAGTGCTTAGTGACCCGCAAACCAGGGCCATCTATGACATCTACGGGAAGAAAGGACTGGAAATGGAAGGATGGGAGGTAAGAGAACCTGCATGTGTGGCATCCCAGAAGTCATTTAAGTAGCTGTGACACAGCCACCCCCGAGCTCTGCGGCCTTCGAGACCATTTGAGGACATTGGAACCCCTTTGTGCCTTGCATTTCAAACGCTGAGTTCTAGACTTGGTTGGCTCTGACAGTTTGTAACGCTGAGCCTGGGCGAGTCTGGCTGGCCCTCCGGCTTGCTGATCTATCACTGTCACCCCCGGGGTGGGGGTGCCAGGTGGGCCAGCCGGTTGATGGGAGCTGACCTCCTGAAGGCTGTGCAGCGCGGTCCCTCCTGGGTCCCACCTTCCTACATGCCTTTGGGCCTCTCGCCTTGCGTTCTCAGTGGCTGCATTTAGCAAGTGTTTCTCTTGGGAACGTGGAAGGAGAGGATGAGAGGGAAGCTGCCCGGGTGTCCCCTTCCCATTGTGATGTGCTAGCAGAACCTTGTCAGGGAAAGCGAGTGGGTGTCTGAATATCCTCAGGAGTAAGCTGATGCCGAATGTGGGCAGGGTGCCCTGGGCAGCTGTGCTGCATGTGGCCAGGCACCGGGCTAGCGCAGCATTCAGTCCATTCCTCCTGCTGTGACCCGAGTGCTAGTCACCTGGATGCCGTGTCTTCTGCGTCATTATCTGAAAGTCAGGACATGGACATCAAGTGAAAAAAGGAACATCAAAGTTAGTTGTAAAGCTCTAATTTGCTACAGCGGCAGATGTTAATTGATTTCATAAAGAAACCTGTTCTGATACCCAAGAAATTCTCATGGACTATTTATTAATCCTGTTGAGTTAACTTTCATTTTGGGTTGTTTTTTATTTTCCATTGTTGCATGAGACCCCCTTGACATGTTTTAGATGTTTCTCTCTTTTTTTTTTTTTTTAAGATTTTTTATTTTTATTACAAAGTGAGATATACAGAGAGGAGGAGAGACAGAGAGGAAGATCTACCATCTGATGATTCACTCCCCAAGTGACCGCAACGGCTGGTGCTGTGCCGATCTGGAGCCAGGAGCCAGCAACCTCCTCCAGGTCTCCCACGCGGGTGCAGGGTCCCAAGGCTTTGGGCTGTCCTCGACTGCTTCCCCAGGCCACAAGCAGGGAGCTGGATGGGAAATGGAGCTGCTGGGATTAGAACCGGCGCCCATATGGAATCCTGGCACGTTCAAAGCGAGGACTTTAGCCACTAGGCCACCATGCCAGGCCCATATATTTCTCTTTTTTAATTGTTTAGTTTTCATGTTGTTTACGTAGGTGAGGGGGTACGTGCCCATGTGGACCTCCAGTTAGGGTGTGTAGAAAGGTGGGTGGGATAAATGCTTCAGTTGTTTGTTTGTTTGTCCTGTGTTCACAGCAGGGAAGCAGAGTGGGCTACTCCTTGCCATCAAACTACATCAGCCCCCCAGGGTGGGGGCGGTCATTTGATGATGCGTTAGAGACCCCAGCGTGAGGAATAATGTCCCCAGGGTGGTGCTGAGCGGTTTTGGTAGTTCTGCAGTGTTGTCGGCTTCATTGCACAGGGTGGAGAAGATCTTTCCGAGGTCTTTTTGCTGACCAAGTCCACCTCCGTGTGCATCTGAGACCCAGACACTGGCAGCAAAGCTTGGCTGGGAGAGTTGTCCAGCTCTTCTGCTTTCCATCCTCTAACGAGGCAGTCGATGTCCTCTGCTGGCCTAGGTGGGCTGGGCGCCCCTGTGTGCCACTGGCAGCTGAGGAGGCCCAGTCCTGACACATGCTTTCCAAGGTTGAACCACTTATCTTGTGATTTTTCTTGTGGCTGGCATTGGAGTCCAGTGGTCTAGTTGGAGAGTACCTCAGGAAACCTCACCTGGGGCGAGCTCAGACTTGACTCTTGTGTGCACAGCTTCTGCGGGGTCAGGTTGAGTCCATTGCCCAATGCAGCCATCGCACATACTGGTGGCTGCAGCTCCGTTTCTTGCTGGGTACAGTAGCCCAGCCCAGTCCAGCTCAGCCTGCCAGAGGCCCAGTCCTCACTGTAGCAGGTGCTGCAGCCTAGTCAAGGTGACCCCCAGTAACCCCCACCAGGCCCACCCCAGCCCCAGTTTTTACGTATGCCAGCATGTGCTGTGGCCTAGTTCGGCCCATCCTGTGTCCCATCTGGCTCTCGCGCATCCATGGGTGCTGCTGCTTAGCTCAGTCTACCCTTCCCATATGTGTATCAGCAGGTGCTGCCACCTTTTGCTGCCTGGGCTGCCCCCAACCCTGGCCAGCATGCTCACCAGTGGGAGCTGCAGCCTAGCAGGGGAGTGCCCACAGTTCCCCTGCCAAGCCCTCTCCCAGCCCTGGATCTTACACTTGCCAGGCTGTAGCATGGTTCACTTGACATGATTCACACCCAATCCTGGCACTTGCCAGTGGATGCTGTGGTCTGTACCCAGACCCAGCCCACATGCTGACTGACGGGTGCTAAAGCCCGGCCCACCCCCAGTCCCAGCTCTCTCGCAACTAGTGGAAACAGCAGCCTCGCAGTGAAGTCCCCAAAGTTCTCCTACTAGGCCTGCTCCCAACCCTGGGTCATGTGCGTGCTGGTGGATTCTGACAAGGTCCACCCCAGTCTGAGCATTCGTCAGCAAATGCTTCAACCCAGGTTACCCCTGGCCTTCCCCCAGCCCCAGCTCTCGTGCTCACTGGTGGGAGCTACAGCCTAGCATGGAAGTTCCCCTACCAGGCTCACTTCTAGCCCCCAATCTCACATGTGCCTGTGGCCCAGCCTGACATGGCCCATCACCTCCAGTCCTGGCACTCACCAGCAAGTACCATGACCTGGCCCGTCTCCAGACCCGGCTCTCATGTGAACTGGTGGGTGCTGGAGCTTAGCCTAGCCCAGCCCACGCCCGGACCTAGGTGTTTGGTTTTAAGCAGATGTGTCCATCTCATTCTTGAATGAAAACCTTCTAAAGACCTTCAGGGAACAATCAACTTGAGACTCTGCTGGGTTGTCCAGTTTCCTCAGTCCATTCTTTGCCTGTTGTTTTATGTCTGATTTTTCACTGATCTGCTTGCCCTAACTGCCCGCAGCTGGCTCTTGGCTCATGGTCTCTGGTTTGTTGGAAACAGCACTGCCTCGTGTTGCTGAGTGTTAAGCCTGAGAGCTTAGCGTTCCCCTTCCATGTTTACCACTTTTCACGTGTTACACACAACTTTCGAGCTCCCTCGCCCTGTGAAGCCGTGGGCTGCTTGCAGCTTTCCAAGGGCTGTCAGCCCCGGTCATGATGCTCGCACAAAGGGCAGGATTTTAGTCCCCTGCAGCCCTGTCCCATCTCTGCCGCAGAGAAATGCCGCATGGCTTCCTGCTGCCAGACCCTGTTAGTGTCCCGTTGGAAAGAAGCAAAGCTGCATGATAGCAGCAATTACAAGAACATGTAGGCAGCCACAGGGGATGGGTAAGTAAACTTATTATTTTATGATACAATTCCATAGGTTCTGGGATTTCCCTCATCCCCTCCTCACATTCACTCCCCCCAGCTGATTTATATTCTGGTTTTTTTTGTGAACTCATGTAAGGTAATAAAATTCTCATGGTTCAGAATTGACTTTTTCTATTTTCCACATTGGTACTAAGCCTTCGCTGCACAGATGATCACCGCAGAGACCTTCGGAGGTGAGTCAGTGCTTAGGAGGTGGTGGCAACCTGAGCCATCCTGCCTGTTGCACGAGCCAGCAGCAGGCGTCCTCCTAGGGTGCACCGTTCCCACCCAGAGTGTGAGCTGTTGCTGCCAAGGACCCACAAGCCGTGTCTTTAGGAGGCTCAGCACCCGGTGGCCGGTGGAGGGCACCCTGAGCGTCCTGGGCTCTGCACCCGGTGGCCGGTGGAGGGCACCCTGAGCGTCCTGGGCTCAGCACCCGGTGGCCGGTGGAGGGTGTGGGGCACCACTAGTGTCCTGAGTGTCTGATGTCTGTGCTGGGGATCCCAGCGCCTTCGCAGGCGGAAACGCCCATGCCAGCAGGTCGTCCTCAGCACCCTCGCAGGCTGAAGTCCTGCCCATGCCAGCAGGTCATCCACACTTGCTTCACTGCTAGACTCCAGGAAGATGTGGCTTCTTTGGATTATGAAATGGCCACTTTTCATTCCTTATTTTGAAACGTAAGGAGATAGAACCATTCTCACCTTGTATTATCAAACTGTTTTAGCTCTTTAAGTAAATTGTATTTGCAGTGAAGTCTTCATTAAATTAGGACATTCGTCAGAATGGTGCAAATCCAACTTTGAGCTTTGGGACTTTGACGGTGTTGAACCTGGTGACGGCTAGCCAATGGAATGGAAGCTGCATAACCCAGATTACTCTGAGATTCTGAATGGTGTAGCATTGCTTGCTGGGCCGGACCCCCACCATGCATCCCTGACGTGAGCTGTGGTTCACTTCCCTGCTCCCTGACATCAAGCTGACAGTGTCGGAAGTCACCCTCTCTTCAAAGCTGTGATAACAATCAAGATGGTGAAAAACAGGGAGAAGCTGGGACTGTCCTAGAATAGAGATGGAGCCGACTCGATCCTAAATGCTGGGTGGCATCCTGGGTGGCATCCTGGCACAGAAAGGGAGAAAGCTGGTGAGACCCAGGACTGTGCTGTTAATGGACACGCTGGTGATGGTCTCTGAAACGCGGGAGGTGTGAGCGCCGAGGACACTGGGTACTGCAAAGCTCTAAACAACTTTCCAAAATGATTCCAAAATTCGAAGTTGATTAGCTAGAATCATAGCGTTCTCAGGCCAGCCAACAGTTTAGGGATTGGGTAGCTTAACCCCCCTCATTTTTTTAAACATTACTTTTATTGTTTTCCATGATACGTTTTTGTAGCTATGGGGGTTCTCCCCTCGCCCTCCCCACCCATCATTTTCCCTCATCTGATTACAGTAGTATAATCTTTTAGTAACAGTTTCACGTTTAACATTCTGCAATTTAAGTACATCCTGGCATTGTAGGTATAGGCAGTGGTAGGATTTTAGAGCCAGAAAACAAGCTTGTAGGATCATTTTCCTGCCTGCATCTACAGGAGCTTCCATATTTGACATCCCCGGGGCGCCTGGCTCCTAGAGATCTCATCCCACGCTCCCTTGTCCGTCCGTCCCAAGTGGTGTATGGGCAGGGACCAGCTGGTGACTGGTCCAGGTGAGCATGCACCTGTATGGACCCTGACCAGGAGGGGTTGGCACTATTGTTGCAGAGTGCAGGTTGTTGGGAGTCTTTGTTGCCCAAGCTTGGTGACAGCAGCTCCCGCTACACTCCAGGAGCCACTGCTGAGCCGCCGGAGTCGGGCTTTTAAGCTCTCATCCTGCAGTCAGATTGAGAAGCACGCAGTACAGACAAGGTTTCATGCAGGCAGGGAGTGGCCAGAGCCCCACATTTTCCTGTAGTTACCCTGATCTAGTACACTAGGAGGCTGGAGGGGCCAGGCGCACGGACCCTCCCCAGTGATTACCCCGCTGTCAGTTGTGAATGCTGCTAGAGGAGGTAGGAAGGGGACTTTAGTCACTAGGCCACCGCACCAGGCCCAGATCACTTTTCTGTAAATACACACTGTGTGCAAGCACATACATGCTCATGCTCAGAGGACTGTAGAGTAAGAATTAAGCACTGACCTTTGGGGCCCGGCGCGATGACGTAGTGGTTAAGGTCCTCGCCTTGCACGCCCACCCAGGATCCCATATGGGCGCCGGTTCTATCCCGGCAACTCCACCTCCTATCAAGCTCCCTGCCTGTGGCCCAGGAAAGCAGTCGAGGACGGCCCAAAGCTTTGGGAACCTGCACCCGCGTGGGAGACCCGGAAGAGGCTCCTGGCTTCGGATTGGCATCGACCGATGCATTCACTAGGGGAGTGAATCTTCGGATGGAAGATCTTCCTCTCTGTAAATCCGCCTTTCCAAATAAAATAAAATAAATCTTTAAAAAAAAAAAACACTGACCTTTGAGCAGTGTCTGTTTTTAAAAATGATTCTTCATCTTGAGGTTTCCGAGGAGCTTTCTCTCGCGCGTCGCCCAGCTTTGGGTTCCCATGAGCAGCATCTCAGGACTCTCCGTGTCTCCCGCTGATACAGGGATTATGTGCTAGGCCCTTTCTGCCCTGCACAGCTCATGACTGCTCATGACGGGAGAGTGGGGCCTCACAGGTGGAGCCTGCCCCCACTGCCGCGGCCCCTGGGGTCGCTCCTGCCTTGTACTGGTCGCCACCTGTGCACTCATGCCTAGCCCACTTGCTTTCAGCTGAGACAGCCAACTGTGACAGGGTGGTCTGCCGGCAGTCAGGCAGCCACCGTCTGGGCCGACCGAGGTGGTGAGAGCTTCCTGCCTTTCAACAACTTGCTGGTTGTTGTCTGGGACCGATCAGAAAATATGAACTCAGATTTAAAGTGACTGTAAGATTCCTGCAACCTCGGATAAGTTACTAAAATAAAAGGTGTTTCAGTCCCTGGAGCTGAAGGACGCACCTGTCCTGGTGCCCTGCTGTCGCCTCAGGTCCTGGGAGACAGCACAGCCAGCCACCACGTGGACACCCAGCCTGGTGTCGTGGTCTTGGAGTGCGTGTCCCCGCGGCCTGGGTCCTCAGCTATCTCCTTGATTCTGCCCTCAGGTCGTGGAAAGGAGGAGGGCTCCGGCGGAAATTAGGGAAGAGTTTGAGCGGCTCCAGAGAGAGCGGGAGGAGAGGCGCCTGCAGCAGCGCACGAACCCCAAGGTAAGCCGGCCGGCTGTGCAGGGCACAGGGGCCCAGCGGCAGGTCCGGCACCTCTGGGTGCTCCTGGGCCGGCAGAATAACAGCCAGCAGGATCGGGAGAGGTCGCGTTTACTCACGTGTCCCAGAGGCGTGCTTCTGAAGTCGGCTCGCCAGTTGCTGTCGGCAGAGCTGCTGCCGCTCTGCCCCGGAGCGAGCTTTCTGAACTCTGCAGGAACGGCAGTCCCAGCAGACGCAGCCAGCTCTCGAAGGCCTTTTCCGCCAGCTCTGCTGCCCGCTCTCCTGACACTGCAGATGAGGGCGGTTAAGTGGTCACTTAAAAATGTTCTTACTATTCTTAGAATTTTTATCTATTTTCCTTTTGCTTTGGAAGCCAGAGGGACAGGTCTCCCACACTGGTTCATTCCCCACTGTGCCTGCTGTGGCTGACAGGGACCAGGCTGAGGCCAGGCCTCCCACCTGTGTGATGCAAGCCCAGCTGTCTGAGCGGTCGGGAGTGGAACAGGGCTCCAGTCCGGCATTCCAAGTGCAGGTGTGTCCAGCAATATGGCAGCCACTGTGCCACAGAGACCCCCTGGGCTGCTCCTTAATATCCAAATCTCTTGGGCCTGGTGCAGTATCCTAGTGGCTAAAGTCCCTGCATTGCGTGTGCCTAGGGACCCTGCACCCATGTAGGAGACCCAGAGGAGGAAGCTCCTGGCTCCTGGTTTCTGAACCGCTCAGCTCTGGCTGTTAAGGCTACTTGGGGAGTGAACCAGTGGACTAAGAGTCTTTCTCTCTGTATCTGCTTCTCTCTGTAAATTGATTTTCCAGTAAAGATAAATAAATGAATCTGTTTCTGTTCTGTGGCTTTACCTGCTACACCGCAGCATCAAACCTGAAGTCAGGGCTTTTAAGATTTATTTTATTTTTGATAGAAAGGCAGATTTTATACATTCGTGCACCCTGTTTGGTCTCTGAAAATCCAGCTGCATTGGTTTTCCCTGTCTTAACCTTGATCCCCCTGCAAACCTGCAGACAGGGTCTCCCGCTGCAGGCAGCGCTGTCCTGGCCTGGGAGTCTATGGCACTCTGCCATGGTGGATGGAATTGTGGCGTTCATGCTGGGTGGAGAAGCCGGGCCCCCAGGCTGCGGAGCTGGTCCTGTTACACGGGCGGCTGCCTCCCACAGATGGCTCCCCTGTGCTGACCAGCCGCTCCCCCGCCCAGGGAACCATCAGTGTTGGAGTGGACGCCACGGACCTTTTCGATCGCTACGATGAGGAGTATGAGGATGTGTCTGGAAGCGGATTCCCTCAGATCGAAATTAACAAAATGCACATATCCCAGTCCATCGAGGTAAAGCACAGAAATGTCTTGTAGTACAACGCTTGGCGCTGGCACAGCAGCCTCTCACAGCTTCTCTCACCTCTGGAAAAGCATGCCCATGGTGCCTGGCAAAGAAAAACACTGATTGCAGCGCACAAGGGCACTGAGGCCCGTCTCAGGTCTAGAAAGTGTTCATGGTCTCGGGGAAGTCGGAGCCCAAGGTCCCCGTGGGTGGTTCAGGGAACTCCGTTGTGCACCGAGACAGAAGCCCAGTGTCCCCAGCCCCCGGGAGTGATGGACCGTCACCTTCTGCCCATGATATGGACATGGCCATCAGCATGCTGCACCGACAGGAACTTGCCACCTCCTCGAGCTGCCAGACGCAGTTCCTGGGCCAAGGCAGGATACCATGCTGCAGAGCCACTGGGCAGGGCTGGTGCATTCGCTGTGCAGCCTCATTGCCACTGGCACGCTGAGACCACAACACTTGGCCCCCTCCTGCCCATTCAGGCCTTTTCAGGAGGTTGCCCTCTTGGCATAATTCAGGGGAGGCACCGGTGGTACACCTGACCCCATGACCTCACCGCAGTGTCGCCTGCACATTGGGCCCTCCCTGGGTGCGCACCTGTTCATTCGGCCTCTGTCTGCGGCATCTCTGATGCTGAAGCTCGGGTGTTAGCAGCAGGTTTGTTTCCTAGGCTCCCTTGACAACAACAGATACAGCCATCCTCTCGGGAAGCCTCTCGACCCAGAACGGGAACGGAGGGGGCTCCATTAACTTCGCGCTCCGGCGAGTCACATCTGCCAAGGGCTGGGGAGAGGTAAGGCTCCAGAGGCTGTGATGTCCTGTTCGTTCAAAGCCTTCTTGGGGAACTTGCCCTCTACAAGCTAGCCCCCCAGATGCCGCAGGGGCCACGTCATTTGGGTAACAGGGTTACGAAGGTCAGACTTGCAAAAGTTGACCCGGCAGGAAATTGTGTTTCCTAGCTGAGCAGTCCTGGCATTCTGCTAAACAGCCTAAGGTGAGAACAGAGAACAGGAAACCTGGCTGCTTCTGGAACGTGCAGCATCCACTCATCTGAGCCTGCACTAGTCAGGCCCCTGTGCACAGACCTCAGGTCCAGCAAGTTGAGCTGCATCACATTAATTGGACAGTCACCTTGATAGTGGGTGGAGCAGCCAGAGCAGCCGTGACTTCCAGGCTGTACGCCTGTGGGCCTGCCCGTGGGGGTGCCATCCCCGGCCACTGGGGAGCCCCAAAGTGGAGCATGAGGACACAGATGGCATCGGCTGTCCAGGCACGCTATGGGGCCTGGGTCAGCCTTTTCGGATGCCCTTTCAGAAAGCTGCGCTGTGGGTGTGACCAGCAGACGGGTTCACCTGGGCGGGGTGACCCTGAGGTGGGAGGTGCGGCCCCCGGTAGGACTTCCAGTCTGGGATCTGGGTCACCACCGGGAAGGAAACATCATTAATTAATACTTCGTGTTTTTCAGTTGGAATTTGGAGCTGGAGACCTCCAGGGACCGTTATTTGGTCTCAAGCTGTTCCGTAACCTCACACCAAGATGGTAAATAGGGGAGGAGCCCTTGAGTGGTCGAGTTGGTTTGTCCAGAGCCTGTGTTCCTTGTAGTCTGGGTCACCTGGAGTTGTCTGTCCTGCAGGCTTACCAGGCACGCCCTGCAGTGCGGGAGTGGCTGCAAGGGGCACTTGTTAATGCTTGGAGATGGGGATTAGTGGGGTGCTGGCTGTGCTCCCGGCCCGTGAGGGTGGTGAGACGGCACAGGGAGGCCTTCACAGGAAGCCTGGACAGGGCTGTCTGAAGTACCAGGGTCATTTCTGGCCCCAGAGAGAGTGTGGGATGCCGGGGGATCCTGGGACTCCCCCATGCCGAAGCTGAAGCAACCCCTGCTTTCCTTCGCACATGGCAGGGCAGGGGAGTCTGAGCAGACAGTCCTGAATGGAACACAAAGGCAGTCCTGGGCGGAGTGGGCTGACGAGCTCCAGGAGTCCTGAGGTGCAGTGCGCACACCTGGCGATGGGCTGCTGTGCGCCATGGCCTGAGCCCTGGAAGGCTGTCCTGTCCTCCGGACAAGGAAGCACAAGCCAGGTGGACAGAAGAATGGGGGGGCCACCCCTGCTCCGGGCGCAGGTTCAGTGAGCCTGGGAAGGGGCAGAGCTGTGCTTCCCCAGGGCATTGGTGCCGGGTCAGCGGTGTCCTGACCCTGCCTGCCGTCAGCGCCATGGCTGGCCTGGATGCACAGCTGCCAGGGAGGAGCTGGAGGTTTGTGAGGCTCAGACAAGTCAGCGGCACGTCATTGAGGAAGACCTTGGGCTGTTGGGCTCTGGGTGAGCTCCAGAGTGGCCGCTGAGCAGCCCCCCGGCTCAAGGCAGGCAGGTCTTGGGCCTCTGCAGCTGTGTCCAGCACCCAGTGCCTGTGGGGCTCCTAACCCATGGGAGTGGTCCTTGGCTCCCAGGTCAGGGCTCTGCCTTGCCGGTCCCCACGCCAAACGCTGTTCCTCGCCCTGGACAGTGCTGTCTCTTCCACTGGGTTCTTGTCCCTGGTCCCTGCTCACTCCCGTGGCCCTGGGTGACTGAAGCAGGAGCTGATGGGAGCTTCCCTGTGTGACTGAGTCACTGTTGAGGTGTCAGCTGCCGCCCTTTGGCCACTTGGGCATGGAAAGCTCCTGGCAGCGACCGAGACAGTAATGACAGAGAAAATGACCATATTTGTTATTTTTAGAGTAAAATGATCACTTTTGAAGTGATGTGGAAGTGAAAGACTAAGTATCGGCCATTTCGTGAGTGCTGGAATTGTTAACTTAGCTGCCCTTTCCAGGCTCTGGTAGTGCAATGCCCACTTGTAACCAGAAGGTGGCACTCCATCCCTTGTTCAGACAGTTGGCAGCAGCAGCCTTGCCAGTAGCTTCAGTCGAAGTGCCCATCAGAAGCCCCTGGGCACTGAGGCCCGACCCGCAGCCAGAAACTGTGAGTGGGAGCGGGCTGTGCTCGGTGGCACTCTGATTTCTGCGCATGCCGAACCTTTAGCCCCCAGCCCCTGCCTAGGCTGTCAGGATGCCAGGGACAGGAGCAGCGTTAGTGGGCTGGGCCACCCTTTGTGCAGGTCCTTGGGTGATTCCAGCCACAAGAGCCTCTGTCACAGCAAGGTAGGAGTGTGACCGCCACAGGGAGCTCTGAAAGGGGGTCCCCACACCCTGCTCCTGAGTGGGTGAGCCCTGGTCCACAGTCTCTGCTTGTTGGGGGCCGGCCTGGGGAGCACAAGTGCCCAAGGAGGCTGAGAACAGAGACCGCCCGTGACCATTTCTGTCTGTGTCCTCTCCGCAGCTTTGTGACGACAAACTGCGCTCTGCAGTTCTCATCCCGAGGAATCCGGCCTGGCCTTACCACCGTCCTCGCCCGGAACCTGGACAAGAACACTGTGGGCTACCTGCAGTGGCGCTGGGGCCTCCAGTCGGCCATGAACACGAGCATTGTCCGGGACACCAAGACCAGCCACTTCACCGTGGCCCTGCAGGTGAACCCAGGGAGCTGTCGCCTTGAGGGCCTCAAGCAAAGTCAGGGGGCAGCCACGAGGCCGAGTCACACGCACGGGCCCATGGGTGCCCAGTGAGTAGGTGAGGCTGAGCAGGAACTGGTCTAGGACAGGCCTCGGGCAGGAGCCCCTGGCTGCCACCAGCGGCTACCACCTAGGAACACAGGCTTGATGCCATTGAGTCAAGTTATTGAGGCGAAAGTACAGTCTCGCAGTTTTAAACCCAGCCGTGGATGGAATAGTGTTCTGTCTGGCTACGTACACATCATGAAGGGATTTAGGGCTGTCCTGGCTGCTGGTGCACTGCCATGCTGCGGTGGCCGGCTCATGTCCTGTGCCACGTGGGCCAGCTGTGCAGCATCTGCCTCTTGTCTGTGCAGCTGGGCATCCCTCACTCATTTGCACTGATCAGCTACCAGCACAAATTCCAGGATGACGACCAGACGCGTGTGAAAGGCTCCCTCAAGTAAGTTGCACACGCTCGTGGGATGCCCGTGCCTGTGTTGGCGAGGACCAGGGCTCCTGAGACATGAGGCACTGTGTGCCTGGGAGCAGGGGGTGGGCGCGTGCCTCTGCCACAGGGAGGCACTGGTGCTGACCAGCCTCACGACGCTGTTGCTGCACACCCCCAGAGCCGGCTTCTTCGGGACAGTGGTGGAATACGGAGCCGAGAGGAAGATCTCGAGGCACAGCGTCCTGGGAGCTGCCGTGAGCATCGGAGTGCCCCAGGGCGTTTCCCTCAAAGTCAAGTAAGGAGGGCTCCGGTGAGCGGGCGGGCGGGAGGGCTGGCCACCACTCCCCTGGCCCTGAACTGTGAAGTCTGGGGTGTGGATACAGAGGGCTGAATGCTCCTGCTGCTGTCCCTGGGCACTGCCCCGCTCTGTCCAGTCCTGGCCCCTCCACAGCAGTGCCCGGGCTGCAGCTCCACCCCTCACCAGGCAGCTTGGCAGGGCACACACCCTCTGCGTGCTGTGTCCAGACCCCTCCTCTGCAACTGCCGCCCTTCAGTGTGCTTCTGAAATCACACCTGTTTGGCTTCTCCAGACTTTGCCAGAAATAGCCTTCCTGGTCTTCAGAGGGTACGCCCCTCCCTTGCAACTTTTCTCCTCCCACCCCCTCCCGTGGCCCCCAGCCTGCACTCCAGCCATTCTAGTGGTGCGGGTCTCCCAGGTGCCCAGCAGGCAGCGCTGCGGGCACAGGCCTCCTCCGCAACCACCTCCTTGGGGCTTTCAACCCCTCCTGGCACCCAGGCCCCACCCTGCGCCTGCCGTTCATTCCCCCAGGAGTCACACTCACAGGTAGCCACCGCAACACGAGCTATTTGGAGTGTCTACGTGGAACCTGCACCTGCCATTAGTCCCTAAACTGTACAGTGTACTATCTACATAGCACTATACTCTATTAGATGTTTTCTTAGCTTTATGTTTATGTGAAAGACTGAATAACAAAGAGAGGGAGATGGTCTTTGGTTCACTCCCAAGTGACTCACCATCATAGCAGTCCCAGGCCACACCAGGAGCCAGCAGCCTCATCCTGGTCTCCCACATTGCGGAAAGGGGCCCAAGCTCTGGAGCTGTCGTGTGCCGCCTGGCCGCCAGCAGGAAGGGGTGAGGACACACTTGGAGCAGGTGTTTGGGCCTGCAGTGAAAGCAGGACACCCATGTCTGGTACCAGAATGCCGGGGCTCCTATCCGGCTCTCTGCGAATGTATACCCTGGTGGGCAGTGAGTGACCGCTCCGTGCCCACGCCAGGCAGACCTGACGGGGATGTTGCTCCTGGCTTGACCCAGCCGTGGCTGTTCAGGCCTTTCCCCGTGGGAGACCTGTCTGTCGGCCTGCCTCTCTTTGCCTTTCAAATTGAAGAAAAGAAGGGTTCTGCAGGAGAATGTGTGGGCAGTACGCACACGCCACACGTCTTCCATGCGGAACTTGAGCATCTGCAGAATCTGCTGTCAGACGGCTCGGGAGCCAGTGTCCAGCTCCTCTTCCATCCTGAGCCCAGACCCTCTGCTGCTGGCAACACGCGCCCTGCTCCCAAGCTCTTCCCATCTTGGTACAGAGAAGAGGAAAGACAGAAAGAGAGATCTTTCATCCTCTGACTCACTCCCAACATGGCCACAATGGCCAGAGCTGAAGCCATCCAAAGCCAGGAGCCTCTTCCAGGTCTCCTACACGGGTGCAGGGTCCCAAGGCTTTGGGCCGTCCTCAACTGTTTTCCCAGGCCACAAGCAGGGAGCTGGATGGGAAGCGGAGCCATTGGGATATGAACCAGTGCCCATATGAGATCCCGGCGCATGCATGCAAAAACTTTAGCCACTAGGCCACCATGCCAGGCCTCCCCTGGTTTTTTAAGGTCAAATATCAGATGATCCATTTTTAAGTTGCACATTTTGCTTTAAGTACTGTTTTCCTCCATCCTGTAAGATTGGTTAGTTGACTGATCTGTTTATTTGAAAGATTGCAGGGAGGTCTTGCGTCTGCTGGCTCGCAGAAACACACTCCATTGCTTCTCAGCATCAGCAGGACGCTGGCTAGGACCAGCACCCATGAACGGTGTCAGTGTCGCCACGCTGCGATGCCAGCCACAGCCGAGATCTGTCTGTGCCCAGGAGCCCGACATGGGCATCAGGCCTCTGACACGGATGGCATGGGTCCTGGGACCAGCTGCCTGGCCCATGGATTTGGGTTTATTATATTTTTGCTCTTGTTAAGTTCCATCTGTTTCTAATTTCCTTTTGATATTCTGCCTAATTTCTGACTGTCTGGGCTTTGGATCAGAGGATATACTCTGTGTGATTCTGATCTTAAGTATATCAACACTTGCTTCATGACCTGGCGTGTCACTGGTATTGGTGATGCACCGCATGTGAGCGGAGTGCCTGGGCCCTGCTTGCTGGCAGGGAGCCGGATCCAGGCGCTGGTGGTGATGCCCGCAGGTGGTGGTGCCTGCTGGTGGTGGTGCCCGCTGCCACTGGCAGCCATTCAGGAGCCTCCAGGCCACCAGTTCAGGGTGGTGCCCGCTGGTGGTGGTGCCTGCTGGGCACCGGCAGCCACTCAGGAGCCTCTGGGCCACCAGCCCTGCTCACAAAGCTACTTCGCCATGCTTCCTGTCCCTTGGAGAATGTGTCTTCATTCTGTGCAAGGGTGTTTTATCTTTTCTTCTTGAGGATAGTTCTATAAACTTTATCTCTGACTCTCACACCTGGGTTGGTCTTTGTTTCGCCTAAGCATGCCCACATGTGTGCCCTGTGTCCACAGTGCTGAGTGAGCCGTGGAGACTACACACTGCAGGCTCTCCCAGAGGTCCTTGGGCAACAGCGAACTAGCTCTGAGCTCAGACTTGCCTGGGCCTAACCTCGGCTGAGTCCTGCCATGATACAGCGCTCTGTGCTCCCTTCTGTGGGAACCCCTGCCCTGAGCGTCCCCAGCTCTGAGCCCTCATCTCTCAATCTTAACATGACCACAGTTTGCTTGCAAGCTGCAGCGGCCCCTGGCATGGCCCAGCACTCACTCCGGCTCAAGGCTGCTCACCTCTGGAACCGCTGGAGCCCAGAGCAGAGGACAACCCCGCCTGCTGCTCGTCCCCAAAAGGCTCTGCTTTTCCCTGTGGCATAGAACTCGATTGTCTGTGGGACAGTGGTCCAGTCACTGCTGCTCCGCTATTAGGTGTGGACGGTTCTGGATTCACTGCCTTTTGCAGCTCTCAGATTCGGCATTGAGGACCGAGGTGCGGCTTGTCCTTTGACACGTGAAGGGCGTCCCATGGCGTACTCCGCAGTCTTGGACACAACAACCAAAGCGACATTTCCTCCTCTTGGCCCTCACACTGTGGCTCTGCCCCTGAGGCCCGCACGAGGTGGGACCTGTCACACATGTCATCCAGCAGTGAAACGCTGACCGTGGGCCCCCGACTGGAGCTCGCTGTGGCGTGCTGTGTGCACACCCGCTGGCCTTCTGCTCGGACCCCGCACCCCGGGCCTGCAGCCCTGCCCAGCTGGGGTCCTTGCTGTGCTCGCTCCACAGGCTGAACCGGGCCAGTCAGACGTACTTCTTCCCTATCCACCTGACGGACCAGCTCCTCCCCAGCGCCGTGTTCTACGCCACCGTGGGGCCCCTGGTGCTCTACTTCGCTATGCACCGGCTGATCATCAAACCGTACCTCAGGGCTCAGAAAGAAAAGTGAGTTAAACATGGCTGAGCATGCCCGGGGGGACTCCGCGGGGGCTGGTCAGGAAACTGAGTTAATAGGCAATGAATGGGCAGTGTGGCGGCCCCAGGACCTGTCACCCCTCCTGTCATCGCCACTTTGGGAGGGAAGAAGCTGGCCTGCCCACTGTGACCACAGCCGCTCGTGCCGAGCGTGTGCCTGCAGGTTCCGGTGCCAGCCTCGACGCCAAGCTCCTGGCCACAGCACCACAGCCACTCCAGTTCACTGCAGACAGGACCCTGACAGGCCGTGCTGGCCAGGGTTGGGAAACAGGTGTATGCTGAGGCCAAGTCCCTGGGCCTCGCTGCCGCTTGTGTGTGATGTGTGTGTCTGAAGGAACAGGAGCTGTTCCTAGCAGAATGGTCCCGGTGACCCCCAGAGGGCCGTGGTTCCTCAGAGGCTGGCGCTGTGGTGCCATCTTTCTGGAGACGGGTGGGGAGTGTGCAGGTGGTTCCCCGTGCCCACGGGACAGCAGCACCCTGACGCCCGCCGTGTCTCGCACAGGGAGCTGGAGAAGCAGAGGGAGAGCACGGCCAGCGACATGCTGCAGAAGAGGCAGGAGGCCGAGGCCGCCGTGAGTCCCCCAGCACCTGCCCCGAGCCCGGGAGACCCTCGGCCCTCAGGCCTCTTCCCCGACTGCGGCCCGCAGGCCGGTGTCCTTGTTGTAAACTTCCTTCAAACACTGGGTGGTGTTACCCTCCTATTGTCTTTACATGTCATCCTTTATTTATGTATTTATTTGGTTTTGAGAAGCAGAGAAACACTGCATGCTGTGCCCCACTCCGATACCCGTGCGGATGCCAGAGCCAGTAGCTCGGGCCTGCCCTCCCCCACGGCTGGCAGGGATCCCCCCTCCCCCCCCCGGATACTCAGGCTGCCTCCTGGGGTCTGTGGTGGCAGCGGGAGCTGGAACTCCCCCCAGGTCCCCGGGGTGGGACACAAGCTCCTTGACTGCTACTGCCTTATGTGGGACATGAGGGGACAGCTGTCCTGGGGAAGCTGGCAGCGACATTGTCAGGTTTCTCTGGTCAGAGAAGGGCTGAGCTGCAGAAGTGCCGCCAGCACCACCCAGCCTGGCCGTGGACACGGCTGTGTGAGCCCAGGGCTTTTCTCATGAGGAGCTGGGAGGGCGGCTTCCAGCCATGAAATCTACTTCAACTGCGTGTCTGGGTCCCTCAAGCCCACCCTCCCACGGGTGATGCTAGCAGGAGCAGGCCCGGGCCCCTCGCTGAACCCCGCTGTCCCCTGCTGGGCCCTGACTTCTCACCTGCTCTCGGCAGGTCCGCCTGATGCAGGAGTCTGTCCGAAGAATCATCGAGGCGGAAGAGTCCAGAATGGGTGAGCGGGCGCGTCCCCGTCGGCCGAGTGGGCCCAGGGCCTCAGCGCTGCGTGGGGAAGCACGCGGGCAGGGCCTGCTTCTGCTGACGGTGCCGCTCCACAGGGCTCATCATCGTGAACGCCTGGTACGGGAAGTTCGTCAACGACAAGAGCAGGAAGAGCGAGAAGGTGAAAGTGATTGACGTGACCGTGCCACTGCAGTGCCTGGTGAAGGACTCCAAGCTCATCCTCACCGAGGCCTCCAAGGTACAGGGACACGCGTGCACACACGCACACACACCCCAAGCTCACCCTCACCCAGGCCTCCAAGGTACAGGGACACACACACACACACCCCAAGCTCACCCTCACCGAGGCCTCCAAGGTATGGCTGCACCGCCCCACTGGGTACAAGGCAGAGATGCCTCGTGTGGCAGCACCTGGGCCAAGGGCTGCCTCTTAGACCTCAAGAGGGACTTTATCGGAATGGTTTTGCTTCCGAGGAAGTTGGGCCTGGCACCTAGCATAGAGGTGGGGAGTGGCTGGGTGGGTCTGGCTGTGTGCACTCCCACTGCACTGCAGCGTGGTGCTGTGTTGCAGGCCGGGCTGCCAGGCTTCTACGACCCCTGTGTGGGTGAAGAGAAGAACCTGAAGGTGCTCTACCAGTTCCGAGGAGTCCTGCACCAGGTGATGGTGCTGGACGGTGAGGCCCTCAGGATACCAAAGCAGTGTGAGTAGCTGCCCCGTGGCAGGGACCGGGGTTGGCACCTGGAGCAGCTCTGCCCATCGGCGCCATCGGGCTTAACCAGGGCCGCCGTGCGCCAGCCTGCGTTCCACAGCCCTGGTCACCATGGCCTTCCTCCCACAGCTCACAGGATCGACACGGACGGGTAAGGCGCGGCCACGGCGAAGGAAGAGGCCGCACCGATCTCCCTGGGATCTCCGCATTGGAAGCCAGAAGCAGCCCAAACATGAGATGTTTTTATTTTATTTTATTCCTGTAGAAGGTGGCACCCTGTCAGTTATGTGGAGGGACACGCAGACACCCAGCTCCGGTGGGTGCTGCATGCAGACCTGAGGCCGCCCGGCTGGGCCCACCATGGCACAGATCGTGTTCCTGGCAGGAAGGGCCCCTCACTGCCGCTGCCACCCAGCAGCCCTCGGTGCTGACTGGAGGGATTTCTGGAACATCTGCCCTCGCACACAGGACTTTTCCCAAAACCTGCACTGGACGTGGGAGGCGAGCCAGAAGGAACGGTGTCTGCAGAGGCACGGCCTCGTGCAGGGAGCACCTGAGATATTATCACCTAGTGAATGTGGGTGGATTGTGGGCTATAAAACTGCTTTTTACCTGCGGACAAACGGGTTTGGCCATCAGTCTTTCCCCACCCCCAGCACTTCTCAAGTCATTCCCACAGCCCAGCTCTCAGCCCAGGGCCGCCCTTCCGACACTTCTCGAATCCCTGCTGGGGAAGCCCGCCCATGGGCATGAGCTGACCGGTGTCCTCACTGCACCTCCTCGCACCTCTAGAGAACTGGTTGGGATGTGAGGGGCCAGAGTGCCAAATCCCATGGCACCAGCCCCTGGCTGCTCCAACAAGCTCCCAGCAGGTGGCGCAGTTCTCCAAGGGGACTCCGGGAGTGTCTGCTCCCAGAGATTCCATCCCTTGCCCGCACCAGGAGCAGGCCGTGGTCCCAGGCCTGTCATAGGTGGGCTGTGGCAGTCCCACTCCACCACCTGAAGATATTTTAGCTGCTGCTCCCGACCTGCTTCCCTTGCCACCACTGGACTCAGCAATTGCCAACAACACCTCCCTCCAGTCCTTACAAGTGGTTCAGGCCGTGCAATCCTGGCATGCTGATGCCCAGTTCTGAGTGACCATGACACACAGGAGATGCTACACAGCATGAGCCACAGCTCTGGACAGAGCCTGGGTGCCCTCCCTCTGCTGGAAGCCCCTGTCCAGAGGCGCTGTCCCTGTAATAAACCTGTGCTGCAAGCCAAGGGTGGCGCCTGACTCTGTGCTTCTGGGTGAGCAGGGAGAAGGGGCGCACCCTGTCCCCCGCAGTGGGGTGCAGCTGGCCCTGCACCTGCAAGCCACATCCCAAGTCAGGAAGCTGCCTTTACTGCGCCAGGTGTTTGCCTGAGCAAATTAAGGAAATGAACTACACTGAGATTTTTGCTTTTTCCTTTATTAACTAAAGTCAGCATCGTTACTTTGTAGTCAGAGGTAGCAGGATGCCTGCCTGGACAGGGGGGATGGCCGCAGAGCCTGGCCCATCCCAGCTGCTGCACTCCTGGGCCAGCCGCCTGCCCAGCCAGCTGGGCCAGCAGCAGCACGCGGAGACCCAGATGGGAGCTCCCGAGCTGCCTTCCGAAGAAGCATTCTGTAACTTTTGTAAATAAATTCATCTCTAACCAGGCCAGCTGGGGAGGGGACCTGCTGACCAGCTGTCGACTCAGCCCAGGGAGGCGGCCAGGGTGCCGGGTGCCGCTCGGCCCATACTCCTTGGGGAGAATCCGACGTGGGGCCCAGGTGGGCTCCTAAGGCAGTGGTCCCCTCAGCACCTGCCACCTGGGCTGCTCTCCCACATCACGGTGGCCGATGCGTGGGCCCGACAAGCAGCCGCCAAGGTCTCAGCTGTGTAGCTCCGGCTGAGCCGCGGTCTGGGGGCCCGGCAGCCCCTCCCTGTGGGCACGCAGGCGGCTCGACAGCCTGTGCATCCGCAGCCGCTGGGCCTTCAAGCGCTTCCGCAGCTTTTGATTCTCCTTCAAGGTGAGGAAGAGCTTTTCCTTGAGGGTGCCCAAGTCCAGGAGGGCGTAGCTGTGGTCGGACGGCTGCCTGGGCAGAGGCCCCCTCGGGCCCAAGGGGCCGGCCCCCTGGCTGGGACCCTCTGCCACCTCCACTCTCTGGGGCCGCACCTGAGGACAGAGGCGGGCAACAGTGGAGGGCTGCCCGGAGACCAATGCCAGCCGGAAGGTGCCATGCTGGCGGGTGGCAGCAACTGAACTTCCAGAAACCCCAAGGGGTCCAGGGGCCCAGTGACCGATGCCTGGGAAGCTGAGAAATTGGGGGGGTTCTCTGAAATCATGCTATCCCTGAGCCTGGCCCTTACCAGCTTCAGGGGGCCTTCGGCGTCCGGGACCAGCTGCCGCTCCTCCAGTGCTGTGTCCAAGCCTCTCCCGGTGCCCGGCTCCCCAGCCTCGGCCTTGGGGACCTGCGACAAGGGGGCAGTCCTGAAGGCCACACATCTCAGCAGTGTCACACCCAGCCAGCCCAGCCCCAGCCCTGTCACAGCTGAGGCTCAGGTCGAGCCACTGGAAAGCACCCCAGGCACCGGCCCGTCTCGCAGGCCAGCCGCACACCCAGAGCCCGGCCCAGGGCAGACTCACCTCCCTCTGCTGGGCGGCATCTCCTCCCGTTCCTGCCAGGTCCGTGTTTTCCCTCACCAGCTGTGGGACACGCGCAGGACAGGGAGCTGATGCGGAGGCCTGAGGACAGCCACACACCGGACTTGGGCCACCTCACTCCCACCCAGCCTGGCTTGAGCCCCACTGTGGGACCTGCCTGCTGCACAAGTGACAGCTCCAGCTCTCCTCTCACTGCCCATGGGGTACTGGTTCTCAACAAACCCGAATCTTGGGTCAGAGGTCCCTGAATGCTGAGGGTGGGCCCAGGGCCCAGCAGCTTTACTAAATGCTGGCTGCAGCAGGAGCTGGTCCCATCCAGTACCCCGTCGGTGCCCACCTCAGTGGGCACAAAGGGCAGGCCCTGCATCTGCAGCACAGCCCCAGGGAAGGGGGGGAGGGGCAGCGGGGATGATGGCCAGTGGGCCCCCCTGGTGCCTGCAGGGTCCGCCTCACTCTTGCTCACTTCCTGTGGGCCCATTTCCAGGATTCCTGTCAAGGCCGCGTGGCTCCTACATTCACTCTTCATGGACTGCTGAGCAGGACCCACAAGTGCCACAGCTCCATCAGACTCCGCCACAACCCCTCTGGCTGCCATGGAGCCACGGGGTCCAGGCCTCCTTCCCCTCCCCACACCCAGCTCCGGGGAGGCAGTCTCGCCCAGCAAGGACAGGAGACCTGAGGGGCCCTGGGCACGCAGCGACTGACCCTCCACAGCCTGCCCTTCCCGCATCCCACGCCTCCCCGCTCTGCTGCCTGGCACTCCTGCGGCCCTACCTTCCAGCCTGAGCACATGGGCTGCGGCCCCAAGGCCAGGAGTGGCAGGGAACTGGCGCCACACAGAGTTGCCCAGCCACAGCGCTGCTCACCAGGGGCTCCTCAGCTGCAGGCCAAAGGCAGGCTGGCATAGGCACGTCTGGCGCTCCGGAAGCCAGCTGGCAGAGCCCCTTCCTCCTTCCCTACCTGTGCGGGGTCCTGGAAGGCAAACACGGTGGGCACAGCGTTGTGCTTGAGGTTCTTGCGGTTCCCGAAGGCACTGAAGCACTCGGGCCTGAAGTGCTCGGAGCAGATGACCGTGTGCTTCTTGGGCTTGAAGTTGGCCCGGCCGATGTTCAGCACCCATTCCTTCAGCAGCTCCGGGCGGCTGAACGGGAATCTAGGGGGAGGCACGGGCTGCACGTGAACAAGCTGGTAAGGCGGATGGCACTCAAGCCAGCAGGGAGGGTGGGGAGTGTGAAACGCATCCTATCTGACTGCTGGAACTTCAGCCATGACTGCTCAGGGCGGACCTGAGCGGGAACATGGCCACCACCAGCCCAAAGGGCTCGCGCTGCTGTGTGCTCCCTGCAGGAGCCTGCACTGCAGAGGAGGACTGAACCAGCCACACGGCCTGTGTTAGCAGGCCCACAGCTGCCACGGAGAATAGGAGAAGGGGTGTGGTGCTGTGGGTGCAAGCAGGCAGCATCCGGGCAGCAGGGGTGAGGCGCAGTGAAGCTGTGGTCTCCAGCTGGCTCGCTGATAGAGTGCAGCAGGGGGCACGGGCAGGGTACCAAGTCCTTCCTGACTGCCACAGGGTGGCAGCAGGTGGGAGCGAGCACAGGGCAGCTCTGGAAGGTTCCTGAAAGCCATGCAGTAAGGTATGCCTGGTAAGGTGTGCCCCGGGACCAGGAAAGGACGGATGGCATCTACTTTATGAGACGGGGGACATGTGAGGGGCCGCCTCGGGCCAGCACTGGCCGAGCCGGTGTGGAGCAGTGACTCAGGTGCCTGGCTGTTCCACTTCTGATCCAGTTTCCTGTTAACACCTAGGGAGGCAGTGGAAGATGGTCCAAGTACTTAGGCTCCTGTCTGCCATGGGAAATGCAATCTGTCTCAAATTGCTTTATTATTATTATTATTATTGTTACTATTATTATTGTTAGATTACAGAGAGGAGAGACAGAAAGATCTTCCATCCGCTAGTTCACTCCCCAAGTGCCCACAACGGCCGGAGCTGTGCCCATCTGAAGCCAGGAGCCAGGAATTTCTGGGTCTACCATGTAGGTGCAGGGTCCCACGGCTTTGAGCCACCCTTACTGCTTTCCCAAGCTGCAAGCAGGGAGCTGGATGCGAAGTGGAGGAGCCAGGATATGAACCATATGGGATCCTGGCACAAGCAAGATGAGGACTTAGCCACTAGGCTACCACACCAGCCCTAACTCTGCCTTTCAGCAAACACAGAGCTCTTCAAAAATAAAAAATATTAATTAAAAACTGCAGGAAGTTTTCCATTTCGCAAGTGCCAAAGTGCAAGCAGACACAGGCCTGTGCACACGCCTACGGGAGCACTGTCCTCGCACAAGCTGCGGCCCTGGAGGAGGCCAGGCCCCGCACCCCGAGCATCCAGCCAAGGTCACCGAGACGCGAGCTGTGTCCGAGAAGCTGTGGCAACAAGAGGCCACGGATGGGTTCCGTCAAAAGCCAGAGAGGCCAAGATGAGACGGGGAGGCAGGGCTGGCTTGGGGCACGGCGGTCAGGCCAGCCCCAGCATCCCATCTTGCCTTCCCCATAGCTGCCTGCTGATGGCCTGGGAAGATAGCGCCAGCCGGCCCAGCTACTCAGTTCTCATGTGGGAGACCAGGAAGAGCTGCTGGACTTCCGGCCTTGCCCAGATTGGCCGCGGCCGCCATTTGGAGAGTGACCCCACGCGGCCGCCATTTGGGGAGAGACCCAGAGTGACCGAGCCAGCGTGGCTGCCATTTGCAAAGTGACCCATAGTGATCCAGCCAGCATGGCCGCCATTTGCGGAGAGACCCAGCAGAATGAGCCTCTCCTGTCTCCGCCCTTCCGCTCACCAGTGAGCGCAGACACCCAGATGCGCTCTGCAGAGGCGCTGAGCAGAAGCAGCCGCGCTGTGGTGTCGTGGACACGGGCAGCGGAGGGAAGAGCGCAGCCCATGTAAGCGTGCCCAGCATGTGACCCATGTGACCCGGCTCCAGGAAGGCAGCAGCGAGCCCGGGCCAGAGCCCGATTCTGTTCCCATCTGGCCGGCCATTCCTCCATCCTTTGGGGAGGTGGGAGCCCCGGCCCTTTCTGCGGAGGGTTCGCTCGGTCGGGGTGAAAACTCGCCGGCTGTGTGCCCGGGGGTGTACCGTACATTTTTTTCTGTGGCCAGAGTGTTTATGGAAACGCAGAGCAAGGCAAAAGGATGCAGACCCCCACGAGAGCGCACGGACCCACGGTCACGCACACGGAACAGGGCTCGGAGCCGGCAAACCCTCCTGGGCAGGCAGGAGGGGAGGGCCGGAGAGCGACCGGCCGCCCAGGGTCTCCAACATCCTCCCACGGTCCCCCAAGGCCGCCCCTGGGCGCCCCCACTTCCGGGAGCGGGGACCCTCTAAGCTGCCTCCGTGCGCCCCACCCCGCCAGGCGCATGCCGCGCCCCCCCTGCGCCCGGCAGCCTGCGGGGCAGCCCCGCGGGGGCGTGCAGGGCTCCGTCCCACCCCCAGCGCGGCCGCCAAACCCCTTGCAGCCCCCTCCCCGCGCCAGGCGCCCCCGCTACTCACCGGTGGAAGGTGAGCTGTTTCCTCCGGTTACCGTAACGGTTGCAGCACTGGCGAGCCGCGCAGGATTTAGGCATCCCTGCGACCAGGCTCGCTGCCCCCAACAAAGATGGCGGCGGGGGCGGGGCCTGCGGGGCGGCTGGGACGGGGCGGGGCCAGCGGGCACCTGTGACCCGGGGTCAGGAGCGCCTGCTGCTGGGCTCCAGTGCGGCCGTCTGTGACCCCCCACACCACTCACAGCTGTGGGCAGCCCCCATTCTATCAGCTCGGAGGAGGCTGGCACCCTGAGTCTCAAGAGGCAGGCACACGAGGGAGCCCCCCAAAATGTGCACCCAGGGGGGCTCTAATCCCCGGCTTCAATGCCTGGCTGGGACCTAATCTCCCCCCAGTGTAAGAAAGTGAGAGCCGTTCCTTCAGGCTCCTCCCTGCAGGGTTGGGGCTGCGGGAAGGGGATCCCCCATTGACCTTGTAACAAAACACACACGCCTGGAGCTGCACCGACCTCAAAGTAGGACTGTCTTTATTTACAAAATATACAGTTTCACAGAAACAGCTTCACCTTATACACAGAGACCCCACAGTTCCACAGGACCACATGAACGCCAGGACAGAGGCCGCCTGCCCTGGGGTGATCCCCTGTCCCCACCCCATCAGCCCCCCAGCCGCCCAGCTCACTCTAACCTCAGAACAAGGGGGCCAACAGCCCGGACAGGGCAGGGCCAGGTGCTGGCAGAAGGGGACAGCACACCTCTGGCCGCAGCCAGCGGAGCGGGAAAACTAAAACCACGCATATTCTTACTTCTAAAACCTTTGGTCATTCTCACAGGGCGAACACGGGACGGGGTGGCTGGGGCAGCTCTTTGGTCCTGGGGGCTCAGGCTGGCAGAGCCAGGCTGTTTCAAAACCAGCTGGACAATTTTTCTCTACAACACAACTTCTCCCTTCACAATAAACTGGGGTTCAGAAACTATTTCTACTTTTGTGTTAATATAACCATTAAAAGAAACATAAAAAAATTTGCTGGACAAGTGTTGAAAGAACAACCCAAACTTCCACCGGTTAGTTGCGACCCCAGCACCCGAGGGAGCCCAGGTGCCCAGGAGTGGGCCGGGGGTCCCCCAGGCGGCAGGAAGCCCTGGCACCCTTCCCCTTGCAAACAAAGAACACAGCATTACTTCTCGGGCCTTACAACGAGGCTCAGGAGAAACAGATGGACAAACACTTCACTAATTGCAACTCTGAAAGCCTGGCTCGGCCTGGCTGGCACAGCCCTGCAGCGGGGTCCACGAGGATGCCCAGGGCCTCCCGGGCCTGGGCCTGGATTCCAACCTGGACCTCCGAAACCCCAACACCATAGGGCTTTGCGTCTGCAGGCCAACGCCAACATACTCTGCACCGATTCTAAAGCCAGAGCACTCCACAAACCATCCTGCCAGCCTGAGGGCCGTGAAGAACCACCCGGGGGCCACCCTCCACACTTCCCCAAAGATTGCCTGACACGAACAGAGCGAGGAAGACTCGAGTACAAGCGCTCCCAGGCTGGGACACAGCTTGCCTGTCTCAGCAAGCAGCAGCCAACACACTCACAGCAGCATCGTGCAAAAAGACAGGAGTTCACACCGTGCAAGACGGGCAGCCAGGCTATGAACAAGGGCCACCTGACCCCGAGCAGCCCCTTCCAGGGTCGTGGCCGCCCTGTCCCTTTCTGAACAAACAGGAGAAACCAAAGAATTGCTCACGGCCAGCCGCCGGGCAGAGGCAGCCCAGACACTTACGGTAAAGACGGACACACCAACACGTATGGCTGTTCCCGGCCAGGCCAGGCAGGAGCAACTCTCCTAACAAAGTGGATGCCAGAGAACCAGCTACGCTCGCCCCAGCAGGCGGGCACCAGGCGCCTGCTGACAATGACAACCAAAATGGGGCCGAGCCGCACCCACAGCCCAAGGGTCCAGTCACAGCCCAGAGCAGAGGTCTGGCAGCAGCTCTGGCCAGCACAAGGCTTTATTCGGTCACCGGCTATACAGTCTGTTGGCCCCGGACAGCCTGTCCCTTTGCTTAGGCACCTGAGTGGCGGGGACCTGCCCGCACCAGAGCTCAGAGTTCTGTGCTCGCCATCCCGGGACTCCAGGCGCCCGGCGCTCAGTCCAGAAACAGCTTCCGGGAGCCCATCCGGGAGCGGCTGGAGCGGCGGATGTCGAACTTGGAGTCCCGGCACTTCTGGCAGACGAACACCTCGGGGACGTTGGACTTGCGGATCTTCGCACAGGACAGGTGGATCCAGGTGTGGCACTCGTTGCACTCAATCATGGGGCGGCCAGCAAATGGCTTCATGCAGAAACACGTGACGAGGTCCCAGGAATCGTCGTCTGGAGGGAAAGGGGACAGTTAGGGGCGGGGAGGAGCACCTGTCAGCCAGCCAGGCCTGACGGCGAGTGTCACTGGGGGGACTTGCACCTGTTCTCACGCTGCCGGCCCTGGGCCACAGCCAGCCCCCAGCTGGAGTTCTGATCCTGTCGAGCACACAGCGCCCCTTCCCACCTTGCCGGGGACACCTCCTCCAGCGCACTCACCAGAATCGACCATGATGTCCTCGTCGTTGCCGGTGCTGTCCTCGTCTCGGAACACCACCTGCTTCCCCTGCCGGACGATAGTCCGTTTGCCTTCCATTTTCATCTCTTTGCCCTGATCGGGGGACACAGTGGCACAAGATCCGCTCGAGGGAGTGTCAGAGTCCCAGCCGGAGCAGGGGTCGCTAGGGGCCTGGGGGATGTCCTGCAGCGTGGGGCTCGTGGGGGGCTCCACAAACGCGTCGGGGGCCTCGAGCTTCATCAAGCTGCTCCGGTAGCTCTCCGTCACGGGCTCGCCGCTGTCCCTTCGCTTCCTCTTCTTCTTCTTCTTCAGCTTGTCCGTTTTCTTTCTGTCCAGCAAAAAGTTGCTGGGCTTGGCTCGCTGCAGGAGGGTGGGCTGCAGGTGGCTGAAGCAGCGGTCAGAGACGGGCAACGCCACGGGGCCCGCAAGGTCCGTGAAGCCAGCGTCCCAGCCATCGCTGTCCACGGTGCCCGCAGTGCTGTTGGCAGGGCTGGGGCTGCTCCTCAGGGGGAGTTCCTGCGAAGCAGAGGCCAGGGGAGGGCGGTCACCACCTAGGGCTGCCACTGTCCACCCCCAGAGCCACCCTGGCCAGCTTGCTACCCCCACCGCCTGCCCCAGATGGGGGCTTCTAAGGGTGTGTGCCAAGGTCCATGTTCCTCAGCACAACCCCAAACGAGCAGTGAGCCCACCTCCTGCTGCTGGACCCTCAGCCCTTGTCCCAGGCAGGAAATGACCAATGCCAAGATCCTGCAGCCACCTCTCCCTTCTCGCATTTTCCCTGTGGAACCTCTTTCCACTCGTCCTCCTAAGAGTGGCTTTTTTTTAATTACGTAAACTTAAATCGGTGTTGATACCCTTTTAAACACCTGCAATGACCCAGCCTGACAAAAGCCAAGCAGGCGAGGACTGCCCCAAAGCAGCAGGTCGCCCTCTGGCACTTGGGTCGCCCTCTGGCACCTGCCACACCGTCGGTGCATCACCTGCAGACAGTGGCGACACCGGGCTGGTCTGAAGCACCGCCCACTCCAGAGCACAGGGGCCAGTGCAGGGGGCGGCCCCTGGGAAGCCCCGCACCGTGAGTGGCTTCACACGCTGGCACCAGACTGCACAGATCTGCCTACGAGTGGCTGCACCAAGCTCTCCCTCTACCGCTGACCCAGGCCCCGCTGGCTCCCGCCCCAGCTCCCTGGTCCCCCTAAAGTAGCACCAAACTGAGCCTCACAGAGGCCGCCGGCAAGCTGGGCGCTGGCTGGGCCGCCCCCACCCCAGCCCACCGTCAGCCCCAGCAGGCCCAGGGTGCCCAGGTTACCTCCTTCGGGTACGGGATGTAGCCGGCATAGGCCAGGACGAAGGTGCAGAACTTGTTGAAGTCCTCCACGGTCCTGCGCCGCTTGCAGCTTGGGGAGTACTCCTGTGGAGAACGGACCAGGTTGGAAGGCACCCCAAAACACCACAGGCGAGAGCTTCCAGGCAAGCCCTCCGAAGCCACACTGCTGAAGAGCCGGGCGGGGGCTCAGATCAGGACCCCCTCGGGAGGGTCGTGCCCAGAACACGGGCAGCGGGGTGGGAGATACGGCTTGCTGGGAGCGCCCTGGGCCTGTCCGTGCCTCCCGGCCCTGCTGACCCTGTCTGCTGCTCTAGGCCGACTGGCATTCCAAGTTGTCGCCACGGCTTTTCCACTGAGAATCAACTACCGACGCAGCTGGGACCCGGTTACTTCAAGTGACTTCCCAGGCCCACCGCCCAGCTCTCAGCAAGTCCACTCTCGGCACCCAGCCGCTGCAGACGGGGTGCCAGGCACCCTCAAGGCGCCGGAGCGGGGCGCAGCGGGGCGTGACACGGAGGGTGCGGGAGAAGCCCCAGCCCGGGACTCCCGCCGCCTCGAGGCACGAGACCGGCACGATGCGAGACGCGAGCTCCTCCCAGGCGGCCGGCTCGGCCTCGGACCCGCGATCGGCAGCGGAGTGGGGCGCCCCGGCCCCTCACCCTCAACTCAGCGCTCTCTCCACCTGGTGCCGGCCACCCCGACCCCGGGCGCAGGAGGGACCCCCGCCTCCGCACCCCACGGACCCCGCGCTTCCTGCCCGAGCTCCGGCCCCCACCCGGGGACGCGGCGCGCCAGAGGCGGGAGGGCCGCAATGCCCGGTCCCCAAACTCAACTTTTCCTCGGGCGGAGAAGGCGCGCAAGAGGATGAGGAGCCGGGCGGGCGCCGACGCCCTCGCCCCGAAGCCCCGCGCCTCCCCGCCCGGCCGCCTTGGGGCTGGGGGCGGGGGAGCAGATGGCCGTGCGGGCCCTCCCCGCCCTCCGCGGAAGCCGCCCCCCGCCGACACCCGGGCCCGGAAGGTGCGGGGCCCGTTCCGCAGGGCCGGGAGGGGGGCTGCCGGAGGACGCCCGGGGTCCCCCGGCTCGGGAGGCCGCACCGCCCCCGCCGCGGGCCGCCACGCCACGGGAGACCGCCCGGCGCCGCCGCCCCTCCCCGGACCCCCGCGGGCAGGGGGCGGGCGGGCGGCGCGGGGAGAACCGAGGGCCGAGCCCCGGAAGGAGGGGGAGTGAGCCGGGGCGGAGCGAGCAAGGCGAGCCGCGGGCGGGGGGCGGGGGCCCGGACGGGGAGGCGAGCTCGCCGGAGGGGGCGGCGTGGGGGACGCCCAGGCTCGGGGCCCCGGAGGGTGGGGACCCCGAAGACGCGCGGCCCCGAGCCCCGCAGGGGGCGGGGGCGCACAGGGCCGCGAGCGGGCCAGGGGGCGGGGCGGGGGCCAGCGGACCCCGGGAGATGGAGAGGGCTGCGGGTGCCGCGCGCGCCGAGGGGCGCGGGGAGCCCCCCGGGAGGGGGAGGGGACCCCGGCAGGGAAAGCGGGCGCGCGGGGCCCGCGGCGGCTCGGACCGCGTCCCCGGGGGCGGGGACGGGGCCAGCAGGCCGGCGGCAGGGGCCGGGCCGGCAGACAGGTCCCGGGGGCGACGCGCGCGCCGAGGGGCGCCCCGGGCAGCCGAGGGGGGCCCGGGGGAGGGGGCGTCCGAGGCCCGCGGGCCGCCGAGCCCCGGCGGGAGGACCCGGCGCGGGCCGCGCGGGGGGCGGGCGGGCGGCGGGGCTGGGGGAGGGGAGGGCCGCGCTCGGGCGGCCGAGGGTCCGGCGGCTTCCCGGGGAGCGCCGAGCGGGCGGGGGCGGCCGGGGGGCGCGGGGGACGCAGCCCTCACTCACCTCCGCGTGGAAGGCGGCGGCGCACGAGTCGGAGTCCATGTTCCGGCCGGCGGGGCGTGCGGCGGCTGCGGGGCGTGCAGGGGCCGGGATGCGGGAGCGGGGTCGCTCGGGGCTGTGGGCTCCGGTGGCCTCGCCGGGCGAGGGCGGACCCGGGAGGGGTGGCCCCGGCTGGAGACGAAGAGGGGCTCGGCGTGTCGCGACTCGGGCTGCAGAGCAGAGCGGCCGCTGCAGCTCCCGCGGCCGGCGAGGCGGGAGAGGCGCGGCGGCGGGGGGCGGCGGCGGCGGCGGCGAGCGGGAACCCGACCGGCTCCCCGACCTGACGCCCAGTTCGGCTCGTGTCTCCGGAGGGAGGGCGGGAGGGCCGCGACGCCTGACGGGAGATGTAGTCTGGCGGCGGCCCCGGGGCCGTCGGCGCGGGGGCGGGGCGCAGAGCCTTATGGGAGTCGTAGTCCGCGTCCGGCCCGCTGCGGCGCGCTACGGCGGCCTCGGGACTCCAACCCCCATGGGGCCCCGCGGCGACAGCCAGGGTGTGCGGAGGCGGGGTCTCCCCGGCCTGAGGGCCGCTGCGGCGGGGGAGGTGCGGGGGCTCGCGCCCGCTCGGCCGCAGGGGGAGGGGCGGCTGCGCCCGCATCTGTGTGGGGGTGGCAGGGAGCGCCCGGGTCGCGGGAGGCGGCGGCCGGCGCCTCGCATCCGGGGCCCGGGGCCTCGGGCTGCCGCCCCTTTGTGGGGCCGGGCTCCCCGCGGTGGGCTCCCCGCGTGGGGGAGGCGGCCCTGACGTCGCGGCCGCGTCCCTCGAGGCGGAGCGGGCTTGTTTTCGCGGCTGCAGGCGGGGTCGGGACGGGGCGCGGAGGCCTGCGAGGCGGGGGCCACGGGGTCGGCGCCCCGGCGAGGCGAGGCCGTCGGCCGGCGGAGCCCGCGGTGTGGAAACGCTCGCTTGAACAAACAAACAAAAAACTCGCTTTGGGTTGTCGCCGTCGCCGCCCCCTCGGCGCCGCCCCCCGATCCCTGGTTGTGTGCCTCGTGGGATGAGCGCGGCGGCAGGTGAGGCGCCGCGGGCGGACGCTGGCCGAGGGGCTCGGAGCCTGGGTGGGCAGGCAGCAGGGGCCCCTCGAGTCCCAGGAGCGGGTGACCGAGTGTCCGCCGTCCCAGGGGGCGGACCTGGCGGACGCTGCTCCGTGGGGTCACCCAGTCCTGCTGGGCTCAGCTTCCGGAGCACTCCCCGGTTCGCCCAGCTATGAAATGCTTTTAGCGCAACGCTTGGCTCGCCAAGTGGCCGTCCTCCTGGGGTTCCATGTGTGCGGCGTGGTTGCCCGCTGCTGGGGTCCCCCGTGATGAGCCGGGGCGCCGGGCGCGGGGTCTGTCCGCAGTTTTTTGTGTCCAGCCCCTGCAGATGGTGGAGTCCCGCGTTTTCCACCTGCGCCCGTGTCGCTCCGCCCACACACACCCCCGGAAAAAAAAAAAGTTTAGAGGTTACTAATACCCAGACGCGTAGCTGGGACAGGTGGAGCCTGACTGATCCCCGATGGCTTTTCCCTGTGTTAAACGCGTCCTGAACATCACCCCCGCTGAGCGCGCGAGTGAGACCAGAGAGCCTCGGAGGGCGGGACCCCTGGGTGCCCCCCTCGCTCCCCCAAGGAGAGAGACTCGCACCTTGGGGTTATGGCAGGTGTCGGCTCTCCCTGCCACGGGTCTGCTGGAAACAGGCAGTCCTGGCATGCGCCGGTGGCACGCAGTACCCGCTGCGCCTGCCCAGGCCACCGCAGGCAAACTTCGTGGGGAGGATCTGGGCAGGCTGTGATTTGGCCTTGGGCAGTGAGCCCTCAGAAGGAGAGGCAGAGATGAGATAGTTACCATTCCCTCCCAGTGCCCCCAGGCTGCCTGGGGTTTGGATGTGGGGTAGCCGAGCTGGCTTTGCCTGCGTGGAGGGTTTAAGCTCTCAGGTGCATGGCGCTCCTGCCGGGCTCCGGGCTCGGGGGCCAGGCTGCGGCCCCTAGGCTGCGGCCCCCAGGCTGCGGCCCTGCTTTAACCGAGGCCCTGGCCACGAGGAGGCCACGCCTTGCAGTCAGGCAGTGTTTGTCTTCTCTGAGAAGTTGCACCTGCCGAGCCTCTGCTGCCTGCAGAGAGAGGACAGAGCGCCAACTTGAGCACAGGTTGTGACAAGTTAAAAATACTGAGAATACCACGCTTCCCCAGGCGGTAACTGGAGAAGGCAGCTACTTCCAGTTACCAAGTATAGATTCACCTTCCCAAGTGTCAGGAGGCCACGTTCATTTGGGCGAACATTCATTCGGGAAAGCTTGTGGTCCGGCGTGGGTGTGGACACTTCAGATTCATTTTCCCCTAGAGCAGCGTCCTGATGTTCAGCTTTTTGCTCCACTTAATCGTCTGCGTTTGTCTTACCCTTTGTCTCCTGCCTCTCTGGCATTTCACGTAGTAAAATACAAATTAAAGACCCATGCATCAAGCAGGTTTTGGGTGCGTGTTGCGGTCCATACTGGTGGAATATGTAAGGGCTAACACACTTGCTCTGGAAACAGCTGACTTATATATATAGATAAAAAGTTTCTATATGGAAGGCACGTTCAAGTCCCACAGGAGGAACCCTAGCGTCCCCAAAACACAGAGCAGGTGTAGGGAAAAAGCAAGGGAAGTCGCTAAATTAAAGGGTGCCATTCTTTTTACAATCACACCTTCCGCTAAATCACATTGTCAGCGTGTTACTCAGGCAGGGGTGCAGGTTAGGTGTACCCACATTCCACACCGGTGCCCCAGTTCCAGTCCTGGCTGCTCTGCTCCCTGCCCAGCTTCCCGCTTGGGAGGCAGCTATAAGTCCTGGGGTCCCTGCCACCCATGTGGGAGATGGGGTGCAAATCCTGGCTTCAGCCTGGCCTCGCCCTGCCTGGGAGAATGAGCCAGAAGCCAGAGGCTATTTCTGTGGGCAGGCAAAGAAGAGGTTAACTTCAGAATTGGGCTGGCTGAGGTTTAACCTAGAAATACTTCTTAAGTGTAACCACTCTCGTAGCCTGTTGGAGCAAACGCCTTCTCCAGCACAGCGCAGCAGCAATTCCAGGCACGGGCCAACATGCAGGCTGCCTGATCTCCAGGAGCCCAGCGAGTGGACACTTGGTCAGGAGGCTCTGGAGAATTCCAAACAGCTGAGGGCTCTAAATCCGGCCCTCTCCCTGCTCCCACATTGCTGCTCGGCCTGAGCCGCACACAGCCCCAGCACACAGCCCCAGCGCCGGCTCAGGGCCTGCCTGCGCGTGGGGCAGCAGTAACTCCTTGCCTCGTCCTGGACTGGAGCACTTCTGCATGACTTGAATACACAACGTAGGTATGTTTAGCTCAGCCACAAACTGCAGGAAGCAAAAGGCAAGTCTTATCACCTCAAGGAAATGTTCATTTTTTTTTTCTCTCAAGGTGTATGAACACGCAAACGCACTGACTCACGCTGGGTAATCTGATTTTTTTCTCACTTGACATTATAGCAGAGGCCATCCTTCCATGGCAGTAAATGTCTCCATTCTTCTCCAAGTGACACGTGACGTCTAAATGCCCCCTGTTGTTGGGAAAGTGCCCTCCCACCCCCTCAATCCTGCCGGGTAGGAACGCATCAGGTTTCAGCCCTCGGTCTGTGCCAGGTGGACGGCTGACCTGGGGGAGCCCTGGCCCTCGCGCCGGCCAGCAGCCACTTCCTGATTCGCTCCTCCTCTTCACAGAGCCCGTGCACCCTGGCGATTGGCCGGGCTCCGGGGCCAGGAATGCCGCGGCGGCGGCCGTTTATAGCCGTGAGAGCAGTCCTTCTATGGGCAACAGGCGGCCGGCCGGGCACCTGAAGGGTTTCCTGCCCCGGGCGGCCCCTGCAGCCCGATCCAGGCAGCACGACGCGGGGTTCCAGGGCGGCGTGGGAAACCTTCGCTTCCCGAGGCGGAGGTGGAATTCTGACAGGTTCCGGCCCCGCTGGACCCCCACCCGGTGCCCGGGACGCACGTGGGCGGCCGCAGGGGCGCGCGTTCCTGGAGGCCCCCGGCGGGTACGCCACGGACACCCGAGTTTCCCCTGCAGGACTGCTGGGCCTGGACTCCGAGCGAAACTCCGCCCAAACTCCGAAGCAGGCGGCTTCCCGGCGAGCGGCCTTGTTTTCCACGCTCCGCCTCCCGGGGTTCTGTTTGGAGCTAAACCCTGGAGGAATCAGAACTTTCTCCTCCCCCTCCCCCGGCTGTGCCTTCGCGCAGAGGCCTTAGCTGCGCTCCCCGCCACCCCTCACGCACACCTGGAGCTGGCCCTGGGCCCTGGGACTTGCCTCGGATACTGACTTCAAAACTCTTGCAAAAACGCGGCGGAGCACGCTCCTGGAATCGGGCTCCGGCGCGGCCGCTGAGTGCGCCAAAGAAAGAAACGGCATCTTAAAATCCCCAGACTCCCTGCTGTTTCGGCCCTGAATTAAAAAAATAAATAAATAAAAACTGTAGTTTGCTGGCAGCCCGGCGACGGGTTTAGCCAGCAATCCTTGGAAATAATGTGACTCAAAAACACTTTTTTTTTTTTAATTAAAAAAAAAAAAGAGCCATTGTTCCAAGCCAGCCCGGGGGCTCGGGCGCGAACGGGGGTGGCTGCGGCTTCTGGCGGCCGGCTCGCCTCTCCCGGGTTTGTTCCACAGCCGGGCCGGGGTGGGTGGCGGGCAGGGCCCGGGTGGGCAGGGCCCGGGAGGCCACGAGTCCCGCGCACGGCCCAGCCGAGCGGGCAGCGATCACCGGCCGACAGGGGCCGGGCGCCAGCGGGAGTCGCTGGGAGCCCCGGAAGGGCGGCAGGACGCGGACGGCCGTGACTCAGCCGGGAGAGCCGGGGGCGGGCGTGGCGCGAGGCGGGGAGCCGAGCCGGGCCCGCGGGGGTTAAGTGGGCGGCGCTGGCCGCGGCCCGCCTCCCGGAGGCCCGCGGCGCCCGGCCGTATTTAGAGCGGCGGTGCCCGGCGGCCGCGGCGTCCTCGGGTCCCGGAGCGCGAGCGTCATGGAGCGGCCGGCGCCCCTGGCCGTGCTGCCCTTCTCGGACCCCGCGCACGCCCTGAGCCTGCTGCGCGGCCTGAGCCAGCTCCGCGCCGA